ATACATAGAAATAAATCTGACCAAAATTTTGATCTAAAAAATGCCACACTCATCAAAAGAGTAAGTAATTTGCTCAGAGGGAAAATCCTTGAGAGAGCCACCATTGAATTCTATCAAAATATCAATCTATACGCTGGTTTTTTTTCTCAATCTCACCTTTTCTGAAGTGATTACTACTTTCCCAAGTCAACATACACAAGAAATGTGTTGAAAAATCAAAGGCTGAATCTATCATTTTAACTTTTGGAGATATATAGTACAAACACACATCTCATATTTAAATCCAAGAAACATTTTTCTTTCTTCTTTTCCTTCTTCTTTGTTTTTCTTTCTTCGAGTATACTAAATGACATATTGTAAAGTCTAAGTGCCTAACATATTTCAATTAACCTGTCTTTGAGCATCTTTAAATATAAAAATTTTCTTTCAAAAATGCTCTATGACACAATCTCGGATCTAACACATGAATCTTTTCAGTTGCTGAGTTTTTATATCTATCTCTTTATCTGAGACTGTTTATATCTATCACTTTATCTGAGACTGTTTATATCTATCACTTTATCTGAGACTGTTTATATCTATCACTTTATCTGAGACTGTATATAAATCTCTCTCTTTATCTGAGACTGTATATAAATCTCTCTCTTTATCTGAGACTGTATATAAATCTCTCTCTTTATCTGAGACTGTATATAAATCTCTCTCTTTATCTGAGACTGTATATAAATCTCTCTCTTTATCTCAGACAGTTTATATGTATCACTGTTTATATCTATCGCTTTATCTGAGACTGTTTATATACATCTCTTTATCTCACACTGTTTATATCTATCACTTTATCTCACAGTGTTTTTATATCTATTTCTTTATCTGAGACTGTTTATATCTATCACTTTATCGCAGAGGCTTTATATCTATCTCTTTATCTCGGACAGTTTATATCTATCACTGTTTATATCAGAATGTTTATATACATCTCTTTCTCTCAGAATGTTTATATCTATCACTTTATCTGAGGCTGTTTATATTTATCTCAGAGTTTTTATACCTATCACTTTATCTCACACTGTTTTTATATATATATCACTTTATCTCAGTGTTTTTATATCTATTTCTTTATCTGAGACTGTTTATATCTATCACTTTATCGCAGAGGCTTTATATCTATCTCTTTATCTCGGACAGTTTATATCTATCACTGTTTATATCTATCACTTTATCTCAGAATGTTTATATACATCTCTTTCTCTCAGAATGTTTATATCTATCACTTTATCTGAGGCTGTTTATATTTATCTCAGAGTTTTTATACCTATCACTTTATCTCACACTGTTTTTTTATATATATATCACTTTATCTCAGTGTTTTTATATCTATTTCTTTATCTGAGACTGTTTATATCTATCACTTTATCGCAGAGGCTTTATATCTATCTCTTTATCTCGGACAGTTTATATCTATCACTGTTTATATCTATCACTTTATCTCAGAATGTTTATATACATCTCTTTCTCTCAGAATGTTTATATCTATCACTTTATCTGAGGCTGTTTATATTTATCTCAGAGTTTTTATACCTATCACTTTATCTCACACTGTTTTTATATATATATCACTTTATCTCAGTGTTTTTATATCTATTTCTTTATCTGAGACTGTTTATATCTATCACTTTATCGCAGAGGCTTTATATCTCTCTCTTTATCTTAGACTGTTTATATCTATCACTTTGTCTCAGAGTTTTTATATCTATCTCTTTATTTGAGACTGTTTATATCTATCTCTTTACCTCAGAATATATATATATCTATCACTTTATCTGAGACTGTTTATATCTATCTCTTTACCTCAGAATATATATATATCTATCACTTTATCTGAGACTGTTTATCTCTTTACCTCAGAATATATATATATATCTATCACTTTATCTGAGACTGTTTATATCTATCTCTTTACCTCAGAATCTATATATCTATCTCTTTAACTGAGACTGTTTATATCTCTTTATCTGAGACTCTTTATATCTATCTCTTCATCTCAGACAGTTGATGTATGAGACTGTTTATATCTATCTCTTTATCTCAGACTATTTATATATATCACATTATCTGAGGCCGTTTATATCTATCACTTTATTTGAGACTGTTTATATCTATCTCTTTATCTCAGTGTCTTTATATCTATCACTTCATCTGTTTATATCTCTTTATCTGAGACTGTTTATATCTCTTTATCTGAGACTGTTTATATCTCTTTATCTGAGACTGTTTATATCTATCTCTTTATCTCAGAATCTTTATATCTGTCACTTTATCTGAGACTGTTGTTACAAACTTGTAGCATATAGATGAACCACAAGTTTAAAAAAAAATGGAAAATCTTTTCTCGGTCTTCACTCAGAAATGTAAGCAACACAAGCGATTCAACCAAGAACAGACACAAGACGATGGATTTCAAAATAAAACATTTATGTATAAATATATATAAAGAGATAAAGAAAGAGAAAACGAAACATTCATTTAACAAAGGGGAAGGGGATCATTAAGAACAGAAGGTGCGAGCGAATACATATATATATATATCAAAACAGATCAAACCAAGAGAATCAACTTATCTTTCAGTCGAGTTGATATTTTCACACAAAGTTCTGATTTGCCGAAGCGAGAGTTCTGATGCTAAAACAATATTTTGGCCGGCTGGCAATTTTCCTGGATTCCTTTTCTTTCACAAGTGTTTGATGGTCCACAGCATCTCGTACAGGCGTTTCATTGGGTTGATTCAGTTTCATAGAACCCCTAGTCGACAGACTTTGCTGTCTTCTTCATTTCAGTGGGCAGTCTGATGATTTTGCCCAGCGACGTTCAACTGCCGATGGACAGAGGGAAACTGAAAATCCTTTTTTAGATTTTCGCTGTCCCCAAAGACAGTCACATGGGTTCCCTTCGTCCTTGACTGGGTACGCAGGATGATGGGGCGCAAATCATGCAGTGTTTGTGTGATGGCCAAAAGTTCAATACACGCTTAGTATGTTCTAATCACGTGAATTGCAGCAGGAGATCCTGATGTTGCCTGGAATTCATTTATGGTCAAACGCCTGATAGATGCGAAATTTTGGAACCAGGTCCATCTTGCGTCGGGTTACTTCAAAGTTCAAGGGCCCTTGGCTTGTGGGTGGAAGAGTAGATAAAGAGGAAAAGAATTTGTGAAGAGAAGAGGAGGGTATAGCTGATCATAGAACATATTCGCTCGCAAGTTGAAAGCATTGGATTAAATTTCTATTTTTATTTATTTTTCTTTTATATCTAACTAATTTTGACTAGAATTTGAGGTTTTGCTTTGGGATGCTTTTTAGCCTTACGCCTACATGGTTAATGAAATCGCGGCTAGGTCACACTGTATATATCTATCTATTTATCTGGGACTGTTTATATCTATCACTTTATCTGAGACTGTTTATATCTATCTCTTTATCTGAGACTGTTTATATCTATCTCTTTATCTGAGACTGTTTATATCTATCTCTTTATCTGAGACTGTTTATATCTGTCATTTTATCTGAGACTGTTTTATCTGTCACTTTATCTGAGGCCGTTTATATCTATCACTTTATCAGAGACCGTTTATATCTATCTCTTTATCAGAGACTGTTTATATCTATCACTTTATCACAGAGTGTTTATCTATCTTAGCCTGTTCATAACTATTTCAGTCTCTTTATATCTATCTCGGCCACTTCAGTTCATGTCCATCTATCTATGTATCCATCTTAGCCTTTCCATAATCATTTCAGCTTGTTCTTCTCTCTCTATCTCGTATCTAATTCAGCCTGTTCATGTATATATATATATATATATAATATATGTGTGTGTGTTTTTGTGTGTATGTAATATATATATATATATATATATATATATATATATATATATATTTGCTGTTCATATCTATCTCAGCCAGATTATATCTATCTCTCTAGCTGTCTGTTCACATCTTGCTATCCTTCTATTACAACCTGTTCATATTGATTCTGATTGCATATCTATATATCATTCTTAACTCGTTCATATCTATCTATATATCTCAGCCTGTTCATAGCTGTCCATTTGTTTATCTATCTCAACCTCTTCATATCTATCTCTGCATTTCAGCTTGTTCATATATATCTCTCTATTTCAGCCTCATCATGTCCATCTATCTAAATGTGTTCATATCAATGTATCTATGTCAGCCTGTTCATATCTATGTATCTATCTCGGCTTGCTCATATCTATGTATCTATCTCGGCTTGCTCATATCTATGTATCTATCTCAACCTGTTTCTATCCCTCTATCTGTCCCAGTCTGTTTGTATCTACTTCAGCCTGTTCCTCTCTAACTTAGCATCTTCATATCTATCTCATCCTGTTCATACCTATCACTCTGACCCAACTACTATTTGAGCATGTTCATATCTCACTCTCTATTTGAGCATGTTCATATCTCACTCTCTATTTGAGCATGTTCATATCTCACTCTCTATTTGAGCATGTTCATATCTATTTCTCTATTTGAGCATGTTCATATCTATCTCTCTATTTGAGCCTGTTTATATCTGTTCCTTCTTAACATGTTTATATCTCCCTCTATGTTTTCATATATATCCATCTCAGTCTGTTCATATCTATCTTCTATTTATATAGTTAAGCCTGTATACATGTACATGCACATAAATAAAATGATTTCTATACATCATTTGAATCACATTATTGTTAGTATGTGCCAAAGGAAGATAAGCACTGATACACAAGGATATCTAAAAGTACACTTCTCTATGTATATACATGCACAAAATAAAAGTTACATTGCATGCATTATTGCATGTGTGTGTTTGTGTGAGTGTGTGTGTGTGTATATATATATATATATATATATATATATATATACACACACACACACTCATGTGTGTTCAAGAAGTGTCATGATAAATATAATAAAACCTGAGCAAAACAGAAACATTGGCATGTGCCCCACCATTCACTTCCCCTCTGCACCTTTCTTACTCCCCCCCCCGATCCCCTTTGCTTTCTTCCTGATCATTTCTCTTATTCCTCCTTTCACATCCACAGAGGAAGTGGGAGGAGAATGAAAAGGAAAGGAAGTGGAAGAAAGAAAGAGGGAAAATGGTGCAAAGCAGAAAGAAACGAAGAAAAAAAAAATCCTCTCAGGATTGCAGTAAAATGCTGCAGTTTCTCTATGGCAGTAGAGTCATTGAAATCCTCCTCCTCCTCCCCCCTCCTTCTTGGGTAATGATCGCTGTAACAATGGTGAGGGGAAATGTTAGAGGCACTAGTCAGGGGGTGGTGGGGGTTAGATAACCTTTATTGCAATATAGCGGGAATGATTTCTTGTTTTTGCTCTTTTCTATCCCTGCCCTTGTTGCAACCACCAGTCACCACTTATTAGTATTTCTCTTGCATTCACTTCTTTCTATCTTTCTTCCTTCTTTCTTTTTCCTCTCTCTAGCTTTTCTTTCTTTCTTTCTTTTCTACTTCATTTACATTCTTTTTGTTATTCTGTCTTTCTTTCTTCCATAGGGTAAATCTTTCTTTTATTCAGTATCTCTCTCTTTCTTTCAATACTCCTTTCATTTTTCTTCTTTCTTTCATTCAGTACCCCTTTCTTTATTTTTTCTTTTATTCAGTACCTCTTTCTTGATTTATTTCATTCAGTACCTCTTTCTTTCATTCAGTAGCCCTTTCTTTTCTTTTTTTCATTCAGTACAACTTTCTTTTTTTCTTTTATTAACTGCCTTTATCTTCCTTTTTTTCATTCATTACCTCTTTTTTGTTTCTTTCTCTTCTTTTTCGTTTTTGTGCACTATTTTCTTTTCTTTAAATTCTGCAATTATTATTTTCAATTTCCCTGTTTCTTTCTTTCTCTTTTACTTCGTTTTTTTATTTTTTCTATTCAATATTTCTTTCTTTCTTTTTTCCTATTCTGTACTTCTTTCTATCTTCATTTTCTTTCATTTTTTTTATTCAGTACTTCATTCTTTCTTCATTTTCTTTCATTTTTTTTATTCAGTTTCCTCATTTTTTTATTCAGTACTTCCTTCTATCTTCATTTTCTTTCATTTTTTTTTATTCAGTACTTCCTTCTATCTTCATTTTCTTTCATTTTTTTTTCATTCAGTCTATCTTCATTTTCTTTCATTTTTTTATTCATCTTCATTTTCTTTCATTTTTTTTATTTTTATTCAGTTTCATTCTATCTTCATTTTCTTTCATTTTTTTTATTCAGTACTTCATTCTATCTTCATTTTCTTTCATTTTTTTTATTCAGTACTTCATTCTATCTTCATTTTCTTTCATTTTTTTTATTCAGTACTTCATTCTATCTTCATTTTCTTTCATTTTTTTTATTCAGTACTTCATTCTATCTTCATTTTCTTTCATTTTTTTTATTCAGTACTTCATTCTTTCTTCATTTTTTTTCTTATTCTGTACTATTTCTTTTCTCTTTAAATTCTTTAATTACGTTTTTTAACTCTTCTTTTTCTTTCTTTTTTCCCTATTCTGTACTCTTCTTATTTTCATTTCCTTTTTCTTCACTATATTTCTTCTGTCTTTTGGCTTTTTACAACTGTAATTGTTAGCCACATATAAGCACCAGAGACAAGCTTAAATAATAATTATTATTAACCAATAAATAGCCTTTATTGTTTTTATTGATGTAATTATATATGTGTAGAAAAGCATTGGTTAAAATTATGCACAGTCTGGAAATGTTGGAACATTGAAATTTAAAATGTTTAAATTTAAAAAAAAATTTCAGACATGTCTGGACATGTCATCTAACAGAATTTATTCAGTTTCTTTGTACTTTTCTCTTTTGTTTTTATCATTTTTATTATCAGGTATCTCACATTGTGATAATAGAAGACCTGCCAAGAAAGGTGAAATGTAAGAACCTGAGCACAAGTTTACCATGGATGATCTAGCGATCAAAGCATTTATGCCTAACATTGTTCTGATATATAGATTTATATATCATATTCTCCCATGATTTAACTATGTAATATACACATAGATAAAACACACAATATCTATCTATCTATCTATCTATCTATCTATCTATCTATCTATCTATCCCAAGTGGTAATAAGATTAGTGTTCTAACCATGAGACCTTACCTTAATGTGACACCTAGTGAGGATCAAATTTACTACACTTACAGATGATTTAGGAGACTATCATGTGAACTATGAGGGTCATTCAAAAAGTTCTAAGCCTCACCCAAAAAGAAGAGCCATAACTGAACATTTTTGTTATGGCAATATATTATCACTTCTTATGAAACTAGCAAATATTCAAAGAAAATAAGACTCATTGCGAGTGCATTGAGACTGGAGAAAAGTTAGGATCTGATCAGTCTCTTACCACACAGTCATTAACGAAAGATAGATAGAAACATGTTTGAACATTCAGTCAGTCAGCTGTGTGCCATGTGTGATACACACATATACGATCATGTAACTTTCGATACATGACTGACGAGGCAGATTATTTTTTCCCCGCTGTAGGTAGACCAGTTGCCATCCAAGGCTATAGAACCTGGTCTGTCCTGCTATTTACCCATAGCTGGGGGGAGAAGAAGATAATTCATACCTTTCCCAAGGGTACTAGCATGTAAGTGAATGTAATGGATTCGAGTGAAATTTGAACACGGCTCTCCGATTCCCCATTCTGAGCAAGTATCCATTACTCTACTGTGCTTCTTCTCAGCAGTAGTTAATGTCCTGTTCAAACATGTTTAGTGGCAGTTCACTGTGTGATGACATTGTGTTCATTACTTGTGAGTACTATGCCTGAGTTTTGCCTTGAGAAGTGATCTGGGAGTCAAGGAATTTCTGTTAAAATTGAATGATGATTAAGTAAAGCATTAGGTAACCTTTCAAGTCTTCAAACAATGCATCTGCAGAATAATGCCTGAAAGGAGATTTTTCTTTTTCTTTTTCGAATCATGACATTGCAGCTGCACTGATGTCAGTAAATTGTGCAATGCCTAAAATTCACACTTGTTGTGCATCTCGCCTCATATAGCACAGCACCAGTTTGAAACTTGTTTTTATCAAGTTTGGGGTCTTTTTTTCATCATGGTATGCTTTTTTTTTTTTTTTTTTCAGCGAATTAATGGAGGCACCTTTATATATGGAATTACATCAATAGATTCAAAGCTTAATGATGAAAAAATAAATATCTGTTGCATTTAATGAATTGTTTTTTTTTTTTATATTCAACAAATATTTATTTTTTAATATCATCTCCTTCCCTATCAAGTCACTCAATTCCATGATGAATATTAATCATATAAATAAAATATTTTACAGTGAAAATTTCAAGGCAAAATTCAGCTAGGAAGATCAGCTAAAAATTGTCTCAGGCTACAGATATATTGATTCACCATTGTATATCCACATACTTAAAATACAATATGTATCCTTATCTATCTATCTATATTTATAATTCTCAAAATGTGTGTGTGTGTGTGTGTGTGATTGGATGTTTTTTATGCATTTCCACAGTTTTCATCCAATTTTGATGAAATTTTTTTTGTTTGATAGATAATTCTTCAATGCCAGTTTTGTGTCCAAATTGTTGGCGATAATGTCTCTCCACTACTTCCTGTCCATTATAACTCTCAGCAACATTTTACTATTTACTATCTATTCTTGGATATATATCTTTCATAAAAACAAGTAGTTTAAATTGTTACAATAATATTATTTATTATTATTCAGTTCCCTTTTCAGGGCCATCCCAATTCAAATTGTTAACCCCCCCATTTGGGGATGTGCCTCAGTTACACCCAAATGTTGTTACTAATATTGATTTTCAGGTGGGCTGACTTTAAACTTAAACTGCTTCAATTGAACAACAAAAATTCCCAGTAATTAAAGACCCAGGCAAAGACGGGTTATACTGCTAGTATATATATATATATATATATATATATATATATATATATATATATGGAGGCACGGTGGAGTAATGGATATTGGCTTGGATTGAGGAATCACAGGGCCGAGTTCGAATTCCGGTCGAATTCATTACATTCACTTACGTGGGAAAGGTATGGATCCTCTTCTTCTCCCTCCAGCTATGGGTAAAATAGCAGGACAGACTGGGTTCTATAGCCTTGGATGGCAACTGGTCTAGGAGAAGGACAACTCTGAATTCAAAACCCGCAGAGGGTCATTTGGGAACCTTGTGGCACTCAGTGCACCAGGTCTCTGTATTCGTCCCTTCAAAAAGTGTGGATGGTCCTGCACGAAGCCTTCACCACTATAATCAAATCTCATGTGTCGTTGTCGGTTCCCTGGAAACTGATCTGCTTGACCCTCATACGTCGAATTCGACGGGAGAGTCAACTATATATATATATATATATATATATATATATATATATATAGGCACCTCGACATAGTGTAAAGGTTAGAAAGCTTGTCTTGCTAGATCTATTACAACTGAGTAGTAAGTTTGATCCTCACTTGGTGACCCATAATTTTGACCTTATGCCACATCTAAGCTGTGCTTAGAAAATTACTATATTTATTTATATATATATATATATATATATAATATATATATAGGTAGCAATCCTTCTTTCATGTACATTTCATTGAATATGACAGACAAGGTGCTTTGATTTAGTTTTTTATACAGTTTCTCATGTGATCTAATAATTTTTTTCTTTTCGGATGATAAATTATATAAAAACTGTCCAATGTCCATTAAGGAATTGTATTCCTGATCAATCGAAATTTGTAAATGATTATATAGGCCATACTACAACCTGTTTGGCATGAAGACTCACACTACGCCTTTCTGACCATAGCTCAATTAGATCTCATTTAAATGTTCATGGAGACCTACCAGACGCTATTTGTAACATACTTGTTAACAACATAAATATAATAGCATCATCTACATGCAAAAAAAGGTTAAAAATAATGGAAGCCTTATTAATAAAAATAAAAAAATCAACACTCAATATCAACTATGAACATGGACACAATATCTTGACCATGTTTTGAAAAATGAAAACATTATATAAATACATGCATACAAAGTATTTCTTGCCAACAGTTAATACATTTCATCCTTGAAAATGGCTAAACCGAAAGCACTCGGATAAAAAGAGCAATTGGACAGTTTTTATATAATTTATCATCCCCCCGCCCAAAAAATTATTAGATCACATGAGAAATTGTATAAAAAAACTAAATCAAAGCATCTTGTCTGTTGCATTCAATGAAATGTGCATATATATATATCAGTAAGATATATATATCCAAAATTTGCTTGAGGATGAAATGGAACTAATGTCTTTAATTTAATTACAAAATTAAATTTGGAGCTTTCAGCTTCCATTTTTGAAACATGGTTAGAACTGTGTAGTGAAAAAAAAACAATATTTTAAATCAATTAATTTATAATATTATATAGGTTAAGAGTCAATGGCATACCTTAGATTTTTTTGTATAATACAAAATTAATTATTTTTACTATCCTTTTAGCACTTGTGATCATTATTAAAATCTCCCATTCCTTCATTTCTTATGATAAATTGTGAACAATTGACATGACTAGAATCGTAGAAACAGAAAAGATCATGCTTCTGTATACCAGTTCTGCACAGGCACAGAGAATGTGGAAGAACTAAGTGAAAATATAGTGGCATGGGGCTTAGTCGTTAAAATAAACACTTGATTTGCTCACTCCAAGAAGTTTAATAAAGGGTGATAATGACAAAGAAACACACAGATAATTTTAATAAAACAAGATAAGGTATTTATTCATGAATTTGCATTCTTGAAGTAGTATCAGTAGTTTGTTTCAAGTAAATAAGTTGAAATTCTTAAAGGGATATATGGTTTGCATATATTTAAAAGTAGACAAAGATACATAGTTTGAAATACTTAGCTTTCTTTGATTGTTGAGAGAAAATTCTTTAAAGTGCTGCATGGTGGTTAGAAATGGATAATCTAATTGCTAAGTACTTTTACACCGAGTACTTTAATGTTGGTCACAAGCAATTGAAATGAAACATTTCACATGACTTCAGACACCCTTCTCTGATTATTTTAATTTTTCTCCTCATTTTATAACAAAAGAAATTTTGTGTAGGCTCACTACTTTCTTTTCTTCTTCTTGACCCATCAGCTAATTTCTGTGAAGGTAAGGTTTTCATTGATCCAAAAAGAATTTTACATAGGCCTGCAAGTTTCTTTCCTTCTTCTTCAGTCCTCCAAATTTGAAGGGAGTGGATGAAGGGAGTTATTATTATTATTTTGCACTTGCTACAAAAGAAGTTAGAAGGGTTATGGTTGAGTGATCAGAAAAAAAAAAAAACAAAAAAAAAAATGAGATAGCTGCCCCTTCTTTTTCTCAGAATGAAGAAAGACAAAGTAATTTGGTTTTCATTTACATCAATAAAGAGATCAATGGATTTGCCAAAACAAAACAATAAATTGAATTTATTTATAAATTAGTTTTAAACACATTGTTATTTGTTGATATTGTAATTTTTTCATATTTCTCTCATAACCATTAACAGGCATCATGAACTGCCTGCCCAAATTTCAAATTCACCCTTTGCCACTGATTTATATATAATTTTCTAAAGAAGTAATTGATTTTCTTTTTTTATTTATTAATCTGACTGATTTTTATCACTTTAAACATTATTTTTAGCAGGTACTCATATTTGAGTAGTCACTCTATTTATTTATTAAAAAGTATACTTACTTGTCTACTTGCTACAATCTGTGGTTGACTGGGGCAGGAAATGGCTTATGAATTTTAATGCCTCCAAAACGAAACTACTTTCATTTACCCACCATAGAGAAACCTCCCTGCCTCCTAACAGCATGGTTGATGCTCAACTTCATGAGAGCATCTCACTGTGTCTTCTTGATCTCATGTTTTCCACTGACCTGAGGTGAAACAACTACATTGAATCAATAGCTTCATCTACCACAGGAAAATTTGGTTCTCTGTGTCGTGCCAGAAGGTTTTTCTCATCTGAATTCGTCCTTCACATCTACAAATCTACCAATGATCCACACATGGAATACTGTTGCCATATATGGTCT